AGAACTATATATATATATATATATATATATATATATATATATATATATATATATATATATCATGAATTATTTAAATTGACAATCGAGATTTATAGGTACAAAATCATCTATAATAGAAGTTAGTTAAATATAACAATATGAACTTATTGTTACCCAATACAAAGTAATATAATCTACCCATCTAATGTTCAAAAAATGAAAAGAGAGTTGTAATTCGTTTAAGAGATTTTATCCCCTTCTTGATCATCATTAAAAGAAAAGGACGCTGACTGAGATTCTTCTAAAGACAAATTAACCACTTATAATACATATATATACTTATAAAAGGATCACATTATATAAAGATATGATACAAGAATAAATGAAAACGTTCCTAATAATACATATATAATCTAAATTTTCCTGATTATATAAGATATGGTACTTATTTTTATAATTATAATACAAACTTACACAATAAGTTTGAGTTTTTAACTCGTTATGTCTAATCTTATTCATGCTATGTTGGAAATGTTTTTCAACTTGCATACTTCACCAATATGCGATATGTGTCAGAGGCAGGGACACCATTGAGAAGACGTGTCTGAGCTTCTTAGTTTGATATGCACGACTTGTCCCTTCAACTTCATGCACAACCCTAAAAAAGTATTTTGGCCATCATTGATCAAGTTGATTTTCACTGTTTCAGAAATTGGTTATAACTCCTGTGAAAAAAGAGTTGGGTCTGGCATTCAAGGGAAACCAGAGGATGGTGGTTGAAGCACTTGAGGTAATTGATGCTGTTGTCTTTTATGCGTCTTTAATAGAACCATGAGTCTTTTACAAGAGCTGTTTTCATTACTTGATTCTCCAAATCTTCTCTGCAGGCAATGCCTGAGAAAGAAGCTTTGGATATGAAGGCTGCTCTGGAATCAAAAGGGGAGGTGGAGTTTGAAGTGTGTACACTTGGGAAAAATGTGACTATTAAGAAGACTATGGTGACCATTCAAAAGGAAATAAAGAAAGAACACCAGCGAGTTTTTACACCCTCTGTGATTGAACCATCATTTGGGATTGGACGGATAATTTATTGCCTCTTTGAGCACACGTTCTACACAAGGCCAAGCAAAGCGGGTGATGAGCAGTTAAATGTATTTCGCTTCCCTCCACTCGTAGCTCCAATTAAGTGTACAGTTTTCCCACTGGTTCAGAATCAGAAGTATGAGGAGGTTGCTAAACTCATTTCCAAGTCCTTAACTGCTGCTGGAATTTCACATAAGATTGACACTACAGGTATGTGGGTGACGTTCTCTTTCATATGTAAAATATACTGCCAGTTGATAATGTAAAAATATTGTAGGTTTACAGTTTACACTGAATGATTGCATAAATAAATATAAAATGAAGAAGTTAATTAGGATACAATGTGGAATTGCGAGTCAACTCGCAAACTCGAGTTTACATTCTGACACCCGGTAGAGTTGTTTTTTGGTAGGCTGTCTAAACTCGAGCAAACTTGGTTAAACTCGAGTGAAATCACTAGTTTAGATGAGATTCAGCAAGCTCAGTTGGACATTAGAAATTAGCTAGAAATTTTACTGACTTTTTTTCTAGGTCAATATATATGCAAAACGCATCTAGGGAATGCTTTCATGGTTCATTGGCTCTCTCTTGCAAGAACCTGGCTGCTTTGGGTGCTGATGTTGATTCACCTATTGCACCAAAAATTTCTCCTGATATCTTCTACGCTTTGCTCCATCTTTGTGTTTTTGTTTATGATTTTCCTCCATGCTTTGCCATATCTCAGTACTTTCATTTTTTCTCTCAGCCTCACTTTTAGGGCCCGCTGCACATGTTAGGGTTTTAACTTTTTCTGTTTTAATCACCTCTTATTATTCTGGACTATTGGGCCTCCCTTTTATTATGCTGCACTTTTGGGCTAACATTTAAGTTCAACAAATTTTTTTATGTGAAGTATAAAATATAATCAATTAAAATTATAATAGAAAAATATTTAAAAATATATAATGATAAACTAATAATTATAATCCTGTAAAAAATAAAAAATTATTTATAACATTATCAATATTAAATTATAATGTTATTTATATTTATATGAAATAAACTCTTACGAGTTCATAAAGCTCCCACAAGTATGCACAAACTCTCGAGTTTGACAATATTGATAATATTGATGTAGATAGGATTTTAGAATTTGGGCCTTGGAAGATTAGAGATCCTTCATTCTGACAAATGTAAAATGAATCAGAGAGAGAGCATAGTTATTCAACTAAAGCTTCTCAGTTTCAATTTATGGCTTCTAAGGTAATCCCCACTTTAAGGGACAACATACTCACTAAATAGAAGCAATCTCCGAAGCTTCACAAATCTGTTCTTGAGCCGAATAAACCTTAGAATTATGTACCACGACAACACTAAAGCTACTCAGCTAAATTGATCAAGGGCACACCCTGTTTTCCTGAATAAGCTGTAAAACTATGTTTTACTCAAATTTCTTTTTCAAAATTAGAAATGCAACATTTTGGGTGAGAGACCGAGGATCTGTTCTTAAAGGTCAATATTTTTTGTTTTTTAAACTATTATAATTATGCTTCTCAAAAATGAATAATTTGAAAGCTGAAGGAATGTCCTCATTCAGGGGATAATGCCACAGTTATTAATATAACATTGATCACGATCTGTGGGATACTAGCCATTCCAAAATATCTTTGAAACTGCCTTGCGAGAACAATATTTTTTCTAAATCACATTGGGTATGGGTGAGAGGCAGATTTGGTTTTCCATACTCACCTGTGTTGTTTCTTTTTTTCCTTTTTGTGCAAGGCTTTGCTTTAGGCTGGGTGAAAGTTTGGTCTTTCGCTACTCTGTTCAAGAGTTTTTTTCTTAAATTAATGTGTCTTGCATTCATAATGTATCCCAATTTTGTTATAAAACCCAAAACTGATTTATCTTTTTGTTTATGAACTCGTTAATATCTTCTAAAAATGTTTTGTAGGTACATCAATTGGAAAACGATATGCAAGAACAGATGAACTTGGCGTGCCATTTGCTATCACTGTAGATTCAACATCATCAGTGACTATTCGAGAGAGGGACAGCAAGGATCAAGTACGTGTTGATGTGGAAAAAGCTGCCATTGTTGTTAAGGAGGTAACTGAAGGCCATAGGACTTGGGAAGATGTGTGGTCAACTTTACCTCATCATTCTTCTACATCTGCAGATGATTGAATTTTAATAGTCGCCATCTAGGTTGAGATATTATAGTTTTCTGTTACCAAATTTTGTGTTGTTTTTGAGCTGTGAATCAAACCACAGGGATATTACTGATTGTCAACTAGTAGATACCCCTTTCTTTTGTTAATTGTTTCTTGAACATTTGCAATTGTTTGTAGTCAATAGATAAATTTTATTTTGACAAAATTCTGATTTTCTAATTGCGTCTCCACCTTTTCTCATTGGAGATAGAAGCTATTATCTTTTCTAACTGCAATCAGGGCGGTGGATCTGAAGAGTACTTCATACCGTTATGCTACATGCCTTCACCTAGAAATGATATATTTTTCATTTGGTTTTATCTGATATTGTTCTTCCCACTTCGTTATTTGTTCAGGTTTTATCGGAAGCAGGCATTGTCATAAATTTCGTAAGGTAGCTGCGTCCTTATTCTTTTTTTTTTTCATAGCATTTTATATTAAAGAAATTTACTATTTATCTCTTTAATTTAAAGTCAATTTTGTTAATTTTTAATGTTTTTTAAGAAAGAAAAAGAATTTTTGCATATAACGTGTGGAAAAATTATATCAGCTGTATAAACATCTAATTTAGAATGCAAATGAATTGAAATTATATCAAGAACAATATTAGATGCGGTTTAGGAGCAAACGCATGCGTAGTCTTAGGAAGCAATTGCCACCTTAGTAATGTGTATATTTGGAGTACTTTTTCAGGTTGTTATAAATAAATAATATTATCTTTTTAGAGTATATATTTTTATTTTATTTTTTAATTAGTGGTTTTTTTTTAACAAATAATTATTTTATCAGCTTTATTTTTTAAATATTGTTTTTTAATTTGACCATTTTCAAACAAATACATAAAAAATATATTTTTATAAAAAATATTTATATTTACTTTCATAATTTTAATGTTAATAATTTTTTTATAAAAAAGGAAACATGTGTTTGGATAATGAAAACTTATTATTAATCAATAAAAAATTATAAATTTCTATCTAGTTAACCGACCCAGTTTTAGAAAAACTGAAAGGCTGTGCAACCTTCTATCCTTTCGTTGGGATAGGAATCGTTGGTCACCCACTTGAACCACACTTTTCGACCACAAGAAAGCCCAAGATATATATTATCTCTTAAAAGTGATTGTTAGATAGCCCAGAGTGATTGGTGGCAAAAAGATAAGACCCAATAAGGTTTTGCTTTTCAGACACTTTTTATCTTTATCATTTTTTTTGGTCTACATCCTTCGCATTTTCCATATTCGTTTTCTTCCTTTGGAGTGGAATGTGCCACACGAAATAAAGTGTAAATAATCATAGAAAGAAAGAGATTTGCATGAATGAACTAGAATCAACTAATGCTTCCGGTCGCATGTGATTGATTATTGATGGAAAATGATTTACATCCTTTAATTCTGTTAACTCAATAGTTAAATTATCAAATAAAGAAAGACATGCAGACAATATTTTTAATCTTGAGATTAGTTACCTTGCGCATTAAGAATTAAGCTATTTGGATAACACAAATGAAGAGAAGCTGTGTATGGAAAAAATGGCATTTCTAGGCTAATAATAGTAACAATAAAAAAATATATAAACTAAATTATACATGGATATCGTGGTCCAATGCTTACTCTATGATTTCAAAGATATAGAGTAATAAAAGTAGACATTATATGGCAGTCGTACTATAAACAAAAAGCTGCTCTATATAATCATAGAATGGTTTCCCCATCAAGAAATTTAGCTAACACTAAAATATATTTTCATGGTGCATGCAAGTGACGCCTGCAAGAGATGAGAGGAACATGAATCCCCAACAAAACTTTCATTATCATAATGAACACCTCACGTTAGTTGTTCCTTTAAGACGCAGTCCACCACCGTATATAAACTTTACCAATAGCTTTTGTATGTATCTCTCTTCATGTACCAACTCCAACTAGCTTCAACTGTCATGGCAAATGGTCAATCAGATTACCATATCAGAGCATGTCAACAATCTAAACTTATGATAACCAAACAGGCATAGGACAAGGAATTTACAATGTTATTGCGAGGACTCCCCCAGTAAAACCCTTGGAGGAAAATTGGAAAAACGTTGCAAGCTGCTAGGATATAAATCATCAACGCATGCATGCCCATCCATTCCAAAAAAATAGTCAATCGTCTATACCCACACACGTCAACCTGCAAGGAGTGGGAACCAAAACTAAGAATTCCTCCATAAAATATTAATGTACGATGCTATCTAAGGCAAATTTTTAAAAGTTACAAATCTCTGTATAAAATCTAACCATTAAGTATATTCCGACAAAGAGGATGCCTGCAGTACCAGCAGTGACGCACGTGTAACTGAAGGAATACAGAACCTTATTTATATGCATTCCTACAAGAACAGCCACGTCAATATCTATACACGACGTAAATGGCAGCGGAAAAATGGTCTTGTGCAAGAAATAGTTACCAAATAAATCCAACGCAAGGCCAATAACTACAAGACAAGAGGTTGGGATCGTCCAGTATATGGTTCTAACTCTGTGGTCCTGCATGCAGCAACAAAGAAACAACTGAGTAACTTACATGTTACAAGCAAAAACAGCAAAGAGATAATACAAGAGTAAGTATTACCTTAAAATGGACAATAATATGTCCGTAGTGCAACCCAACCAAGCAAGTAACAATAGCCATCACTGAACTATAATGCCACAAAATGGATACAAAATCAGGGACAATAAAGAATAGCAAACATTCTTATTAACTAAATTTGTAGCAACCATTTTTATTAACTAAATTTCACATTCAAATATTGGTCACTTTTTCTCTCTCTCTCTCCTCGCTGAGACTGACATAATGAGTTGTTCACCTTAGGAGTCCTTCGGGATCAAAAGGGGCCTGACACCAAGCAGGAGCACCGGGAGGCAATGGTCCATAGTTGGGAGAATTAATGCTGCATTCCTATGGATAATGATAAAAGGTAAAATATGTAAAAATTAGAAGCCAAAATAACTAGCATAATGAATCAGAAAAAATAAGAATAGAGAGGATCATACAGGCGTCCGTGCATATATTGGTCTCCTGTACAGATGTTGGATACCAAATAACGTTCTATCAATCATCCCAACTGCGTTGCAGGCTGGTCCAGTGTCACCCCTTACTCCACATTTAACCTAACAAATCACATTTATTTCGTTTTAAACCAATACAGAAGTTAAATTCTTTCGAGTAAACTTAAAGCAACACGAGCCATCAATACTCACAGAAAATGTCTTCGGCTCTGAAGAAGGTTCAGTTTGAATTTGATACTCCCAATCAGGAACGTACAATCCATATAGCAAGCAAAGATATACGAAAGAAATTATAAGAGCCACAACCCTGTTACAGTCAAACAGATTTGGGAAACAGAGTAAATGGAAAAGTAAAAGCACGGGCATGAATGGGAAAAAAAAACACGAGAAGTTTCACTAAATAAAATTGAGAAACAGGTTCAGTGGAGAAGCATTAACATTAAGAATGAACACAAGAATTCCTTCTCAACAAAATATGGTTGAGTAAAAACAGATATGGACATGTTGCAAATAAAATGCCATGCCATGCACCAAACTAATAAATAATTAAGAAAAATGAAATACATTCTAGTGTGTTCCACAAAGTTTAAAGAGTTGTATTGTTGTGCATTTATCAAATGTGAAGTAAAAAAGTAACAGTTCAGAAGTTTACCACTGGTATCGATACTTCCTTAAGAGGGATGGTCCAGAATTAACAGTATCATCACTCTTGAGCCAAATTTCACACAGAGCGGCGACCAAATAGGCTAACGCAATTCTCTGATATCAAATGAAGAAAATAGCGAATGATAATCAATATGGCAAATATAAAGAAAAACAGAAATTATGATGACAATCTTCAACTTTCTGGTCAGTTGGACGACTATAAAAATTACCATAGACCAAAAACCAAAACTTAAAAGGGAAAATAATTAGATCGTTAACAGTTAGTTGATTTTAATTTGTGTTCAAATTTCTTGAGAGCACACAAAAGTTACAGCTGACACTTAGACCTGAAGTTTTCTCCTCAACAACCAGTCACAAAGAGAAGCAAAGAGAACCCTGGCAGAGAGAGCATACCTGCAGTATTCCCATCCATCTTATCTGTTTAATATCCACTCCATATGTCAGATCGTTCACACGATGGAAATAACCTCCTGCAGAAGGTCAACAATATTAGACATTTGAAAGAGATATGTAACATACATATTACATAAACGAGGTTATGAACAAAAACACTATCCTGTTTCAACATTCAATCTTTTTAGCCTGACATCCATTAAAAACAACATTCTAAAAAAGCTTAAAATTTAGTCAATAATACCTTGAAGAAAAAGGCCTAACACAAGAAGTTTTAGAGCCCGTAAACCTGCTTTTCTTGATGCATCGACTCTGCAGGACAGTTTCTGTTGAAGAAAAAAAATGGAATAATTAATATAAATACTTATAATTAAATTTTCACCACAAATTCTAGTTCTATTTTAAATTTCATAAAACAATCTAGATCGTAGAACTGCAAGAAATTTGGCAACGCTCGCTTCTTTTTAAAATTCATATTTGAGTTATATAACAGTTCCAATTGCATACCTTGTATGTGAGAGCGAGGGAAACACCAACAATAAATAGGAAAAACGGCATGACATAATCAGCTAGTGTTAAACCATTCCATGGGGAATGATTAAGCGCTGGAATGAGTCCACCGGCATCATCAACCAGTATCATCAGCTGTGCATCAAAATATGATGATGTCAGTAAACAATTGTCAAACATGAAAAAAAAAACAAATTTTCTGTCTGAGATATTAAGACATATCGTGTGTTCCTAAAACATATACTCCATTTCGCATAAAAATGAAATACCAATGGTCCGTGGGATTCCCATCCGCTTGATATTCATAGATTAATCAATTCTAAGATTTTAGGTCATTACACCTTCATCTTTCATCAAAGATCCAATAGTTTGGTCATGTTCACCAGAAAACAGCATAACTTACATTATCGCACCAAACACCGTATGACTAAATAGGACAGCTTATCTTATCCGTACTAATTTCATCAGGCGCACCAAACAATGTTTAAAGTCTAAGAAAATATCGTATGAAAAATAATTACTTATACAAATGTCTAATAGAGTTTATTGAA